ATTTTGGCTTCCTTTTGTCTGTTTTGTGGCGATCTTCTCGCTCACTATATTTTGTTTTTTTTTAATTATTGTTATTAATCACTTCCCCTGTTTTAATTAGCTCTTTATTTTACCAGCTTTATCAACACATTCTTTTATTTCTACTCTACAGAAGCCATCCAATGTATTCGCGACATTCTTCTTTCACTTATTTTCCTTCCCGTCTCTTTTCGCCACCTCCCCCACCCCCCACCCCCCCCCGGCCTATCTTTCCTCCCGGTGTATGCTCAGCGGACGCATTCCCTCCTGCGCGGTCCGCGGGATGTATACATACATGCATACACATATATGTGTGTATATGTACACACACACACACACACATATACATATATGTTCATATGAACACACACACACACACACACGCACACACGCACACGCACACACACACGCACACGCACACGCACCACACACACACACACACACACACACACACACACACACACATATATATATATATATATATATATATATATATATATATATATATATATATATATATATATATATATATATATATATATTATATATATATATATATATATATATATATATATATATATATATATATATATATATGCCATGCATAGATACATATATATATACAAATATGTATACATGTATATATACATATTTACACATATATACATATACATGCAGTATATACACATGTGTATATGCATATACATATATCATACAAAGATATATCACACACACACACACACACAATAGAGGGAGTTGTGCGGAAAATTATTCCACAACCTTGGTTAATCCTTAGACGCCAACTATATTTATAGAATACTGGCACGGAAAAAAATACAAAGAGAGTGCCCGCAACTGAAGAGTGCCTAACTCTCTATTTTTTATGTTAGTTATTAAGGTGATTTATTTACCTGTTGGCCCATCCACAGCTCTCAGGATTCCTCGATAGCTTCTACCGCTGGATTTCGATTCGTACGTCACATTTCCCACCTGCTTTACCCCTCTCCCAGACAGAAACCCTTTAACCCGTTTTATTTCCTCTTTCCTAATCAGATAATGCGCGGTGTTCCTCTGCTCGGCAATAACCATAACCGCGTCTTTGTAATGCTGATTGACAGGCCCTTCGCTGGCTCTCCATGGCTGTATCAAGTAACCTTTGTAGTTGAGCCTCTTATGAACTACACGATAATAATGATAGAATTAGGTATCACATGCACATGCATATATAAAATTAGGTATCACATGCACAGGTAGATACTCTGGATTATCATTTAATAACAAGAAAT